ATACGGAATGAATTCCAATAACCAAAATTTTTTTCTTCTTTTCTCCTCAGTAATTTTATATTTTTTAAACTTAATAGTGATTAAATTGGATTTTAAAATTGGCAGTTTTTAATTTTAATATCAAATTTTATCATATAATTTAATAATTATTGGTTAGAATAAATTCTTTTTTAATATTACCCGTATTTTAAAGATCTGAATAGCTATTATAAGATGATTTCGTTGTCAAGCTTTTGAATCTTCCTATACTTGGGTTTTGATTGCTCATTCTAGCTTTTGTAAAAATGTTTTCCGCTAGCGAAGGATCGTTAATTAATTTTAAACTTTTAAAACCATTTATTTTATCTTCAACATCATCACTTGATAAGACACCGAGGGTTTTGAAACAAAATGGCTATTTTTGTAGTGATTTTGTAACATTTATGTTATAATTTTTTTATAAAAAAATTATATATATATATATATATATATATATATATATATATATATATATATATATACACTTGCAATATATTTATCTCTCGATAAAAACCCTCTTTGCAAAAATGCGTCAATGAAACCTGATCTACAAATTGATTTCTTACAAAGAATGTGTATTCTATTCATTCGAAGCCATCCTGAAAAATCTTGTCAGTATTAAATAACCCATTGAAGTTGATATACAAATTATTCGCTGAGAACTCCCTCAATCCACGTATTATTTCGGTAGAACATATTTAAAATATTCTTTCTTTATTTTCCTGTTATTTAAGTGACTTAAAACATATAACAGTCTATTTTTATAGTAAAAATTGGCAGAATTGTACATCTTCATTGTAAAAAAACGCAAAAACATGCGTAGTGCTTGGGCTTTGTTCTCTGTTACGGACCGCGGATGGGGTCTAAAAAGTTGCTTATGCTAAGTCTGGGGGCACCATTACAGTTCTGTTTTTAGAAAATGTTTTAAAACTTTATATTTTATATCTTGTTACGCATATTTTATACAGTATTTTCAATGGTTGTATCGATCTATGCATAATTAAAAACGGTTATTGTAGGTATGAAAGTAAATTTACGCTAAGTGTATGGTCACCAATACTATTTTTCAGAAATGTTTTTAAAAGGATTTGAAATGTTTCTGATGTGTTTAGGATGAAAGTTTGAGGCATATGGGGTGTTAACAATCAAAATAGGTAATTATATTTACTTTTAGTGGGGGTTACAAGTATTCGCGGATACTAAATATTCTGGTCCCTTTACTTCAGAGAATACGGAAGACCCACTGTACCAAAATAAACCAAACCGAACCACCCACCTTCATTTCCTCAGCCTATTTGTGATGAAGCTTTTTGATACATATTTTATAATATCTACTCTTTTTTTCTTTTCAGTTCATGCCCTAAGAATGTAATGAGGTCACAAGATATACTCGTATTTTCATTAAGCAATAGCCTGCATTAGCTTAACTCAGACCTTAAGTGGTACACGTTAAAGGTGCTTGATAAACGGTCGACTCCCTGGACTGCGTCAGTAAGGCTCTTGACTCTTCCTGCTATATTATACGTTTACAAGAGTCAGATGAGGCCGCAAAATGTAGTGCTGCTGTTTATATAGAATCACTAGCCGAGCAGACCGCACTTTCCAGTCATGACAGAGTCCTTCAGTGTCTCCGCGTCCTTGTCGACGACGAAGTATTTTCTGCATTCCAACACTCCAATCATCGCTATTTCTATGGAAAGGCTTCCGACGAACTATATTTCTTAGATCCACCAGTTCTAACATTCGCGGCTAGAACTCGCTGCGTTACGCACATTGTAGCGAATCGCCCTCATTACCATCGTATTCAGTAGGTGAGATGAACATTGCGTCTTCCCACGAACTGCTGGTTTTGTGAAACCAACTCCCAAGAGGATGCTTCCCCGATCACTACAATTTTAACCTTTTCAATTCAAACAGCTATACAAGTCAAAAAAATATCTTCCTCATATATCTTCATGAAGCTTAATTCTTATTCTTTAATCTTCTAGCTGGAGTGGCTCTTGTGTCTTGTATATGATGAACATTATTGTAAAAAATAACACAATATTAACAAAATGGATGCTCATCGACCTGGTACGTATAAGGTGGTCGCTAAACAATAATTAATTCAAATACTGGAAATAATTTGCCGTGTATACCGTGGGACGACAGTAGTCCTTGTGATTATTTATATTATTTACACTATTCGGGCTGTTATCCTCATTTTCATTGCCGAAGTAATCATAATACCTCATCTCAGAGATATAGACAGATCCTGAAGAAGGCCGGAGCGTACAAGGGCTGAAAGGGCTGAAATGGTTGTGAATAATTAATATAAATAAAAGATGAGGATAACAGTCCGAATAATGAATATGGAAATGAAAATAACAGTCCTAATAAGTAATTATAATACCTCATCTCAGATATCCACTCACCTGAAGAAGGCCGGAGCGTACAACGGCCGAAACGTTGTGAATATGGTAATGAAGATGAGGATAACAGTCCAAATAATGTAAATAATGTAAGTAATTATAATACCTCATCTTAGAGATTCAATTACCTGAAGACGGCCGGAGCCTACAACGGCCGAAACCTTGTGAATATGGCAATGAAGATGAGCATAACAGTCCGAATAATGTAAATAATCATAATGCCTCATGTCAGAGATATATTCATATCTATCTTATTAGTTTATTGCTGGCCTTATTATTATTTTATTATAATCTCTATTATTATTTCTTTCCGACAGTCTTTATAAATTTCTTTTTCTGTCAAAGGTTAGCCGTTGCTGCCCTTGAATCGATGCCTTAGTTTCACTCACGTGACTCCACTCCCACCCCAAAAGAAAAATGAAGAAAATCATCAGCAGATGTCTCCTTTTACTGGTCGGCATAAGTTGGACACACTTATAATATAGGGAATTTTTGGGGGAAACCATTATTTTAGGTTAGATTATTTTAGTTTGGAAAATTTTCCAAAAACTTAAAATGAAGTGATGTTTCATAAATTGCAATAACTGGGATAGGGAAGGTCTGGAATGATGCGGTCACTTCATCAACCAGCTGAGGTGTTGAAAGTCTTGGACGACCGGTTAGGGTGTTGCATGATAATACTTATAGGAAAAATCCTAATATTACCATTATCATCATGATGTATTCAGGTCTATATCACTGTTCATAAGAAATCTACGAGGGTCAGCTAAAAAGTTCATAGGTTGACTGTGAAAGGGTGATTCTAGAGCTGTGAAATCTTGCATGTATTAATTTCCTGCTCTTTTATTAATAACTACATTGTTTCCTTCCAGGTAAACTGACAACAGCCGCAACAACTGAAATGGATAGCACATGTAACTCGAAGAGAAAATAATGTCATAATCAAAATGTTGACGTTCCACACAACTTCAAATAAAAGGTTAGGAAGGAAACCCCATCAATACTAGAAAGAGCCATAACATTAACAAATAATAGAAACTACATCACTTAAAGACTTTCAACAGCAGCAACAACTGAAATGGATAGCACATATAACTCGAAGAGAAAATAATGACATAATCAAAATGTTAACATTCCATACCAAATCAAATAGAAATTTCGGGATGAAGCCCTCATCAATACTGGAAAGATCGATAACATCTACTGGATTCCAGAAAACTGTTCATAAAAATAAGAAACTGTTTTAAGAAAGAGATTTTATAAATTTCAACCGATAGCTATACTTGCTCTTCGGCCAATGAATTCCAAATGTTTCCTTATAGGGAAACGGCTAATATTACCATTATCGTCACCGTAACGGCTCTTAGGGAAAGCTAGGGAATATATTGATTTAAATGGTGTTAATTTAAACCAAAATATGGAATCTACTTTGAGTACCTCTTGGCATTTCTTGGGGATTTTCTTCCTTTTTGGGAAGAAATTCGAACTTCGAAGCGCTCGACCTATATCACAATGCTCTGCACGACGTTATTTTTTTTTTTTCCTCTCCAGATCGAAAATTGTGCACGGATTTTTATTTTGTTTCTCTCTGGAATAGAAAGATAAATATTAGTAAAAAAAAAAAAAAAAAACATCGGGAAAAGATATTAAAAAAAAAAGACATATTTTCCTCTCGGCAACTAAATTAAACAATTTTATTCCGACAAGAGATAATTAACATGGACGTTAAGAATTTTTTTTTTTTTTTTAATTTTGTCTTTTTCGCTAGAATATTAATAAATGATATAATAAAGGAAAATAAATATAGATAATGAGAACTCTGGTTGGACAAAATTAGGCCAATTCCACTTACTTCCATCAGGTTTTCGATATTCCAAATGACATAATTAAATAAGAATTACTAAATTTTAAAATTACTTTTTACTTAACCATATGACGTATTGGTGAGAGTTATTCTCATTGTAAAACTTTAACAGAAGAAAAAAAAAAGAACAGAAACAAAACAAATGAATGAAAAATAATGGCAATAAGATCGATTTTTAAATTCATCGAATACGCTTCTCATAAACCCGAGTCTTTACACGTGTGTACCAGTTCCCTCATTCGATAGTTATTTATAAGCCATTAGTACTCCGACATGGTGAAATCGTTAACAAGCCTGTCTCTCTAGATCAGTTATGACTGAGTTTGAGTCTCACTGGGTGTTCTATACATTCGGCTTTGTACGACATCCAAGTTTCTCTGAGAAAATTCCTATACGCGGGCCAGAAGATAGTTTCTAAGCTTCTCCTGCTGGGTGAGGTACAGCTTTGGTGAAAACTTTTTTATGGATTTATCGGAAGCTAGAGAAGATTGTTCTACATTTGGCACGCTAAATAATATCAAGTGAAACTGGTAATTAAAAGCATGCGTCCAGGAGGTAGACGATCTACATTGATTAAAAAGTGTCTTGTATCATTGTATCAGTAATAAAAAGGAAGCGAGGTGCCATCTTGATCTAAATCATATAGGGGATAAAAAAAAAAGAAACACATTAATATAGAGAAGTAAGTTTCCCCTGTTTCATTTGTGATGACGTTACCTTTTAGAACTCTCTACACTTCCTTTTCTTTCTTTCTTTCTTTCTTTCTTTCTTTCTTTCTTTCTTTCTTTCGTTGTGTCGCGTCCGTTAAGGAAGTTAGCAATAATAACTTTCTAAGGATCCCTTTTCTTCTTCTTCTTCTTCTTCTTCTTCTTCTTCTTCTTCTTCTTCTTCTAAGTGTCGTGTCTCTTCAGGACGGAGGTGATCATGATTTTCCACGGACCCCTATCCTTTGTAGCTCTTAGCATCTTTTGTCCATTTTCCCCAGCCTCCCGACCTCCATACCACAACCATCGACTCAAACTCGTCAAATCTGTGGTCCGCTGCTTTCTCCCGATCATACTAAATTCGTTGTCTCCTGGGAGTATCAAATTTTCCAAGTCCTCCTTCCTCATTATTCGTCTCATAAATTTCAAGTGTCTCTTTGATGATAAGTGTCTCCTTTTCTGATTCTCATTATAAGTGTCCCTCTTTCCGATTCTGTCTATCAGTTTCCCTCCTGATTCTCATTATCAGTGTCCCTCTTTCTGATTCTCATTATAAATGTTCCTCTTTTTCATTCTTATTATATGTGTCACTGTTTCTCATTCTTATATTGTCCCTGTTGTTGATTCTCATTATCAGTGTCCGTCTTTCTGATTCGGATTATAAATATCCCTCTTTCTGATTCTGTATATAAGTGTCCCTTTTTCTGATGTCCATTTTCAGTGTCCCTGTTAATGATTCTTATTATAGATGTCTCTTTCTGATTCTCCCTATCCGTATCGCGCTTCCTGATTCTCATTATAGATGTCCCTCTTTCTGATTTTCATTATCTGTGTCCCTCTTTCTGATTCTCATTATAAGTGTCCCTCTTTCTGATTTTCATTATCAGTGTCCCTCTTTCTGATTCTGATTATGTTCCTCTTTCTGATTCTCATTATAGATGTCGCTTTTTCTGATTCTGATTCTAAGTGTCCCTCTCTGTTTCTGATTATAAGTATACTTATTTCTGATTCTCATTATAAGTGTCCCTTTTTTCGATTCTGTCTATCAGTCTCCCTCTATCTGATTCTCATTATCAGTGTCCCTCTTTCTGATTCTCATTATCAGTGTCCCCCTTTCCGATTCTCATTATAAGTGTCCACCTTTCTGATTCTCATTATAAGTGTCCCTCTTTCTGATTCTCATTATCAGTGTCCCTCTTTCTGATTCTCATTATGTGTCCCCCTTTCTGATTCTCATTATAAGTGTCCACCTTTCTGATTCTCATTATCAGTGTCCATCTTTCTGATTCTCGTTATAAGTGTCCCCCTTTCTGATTCTCATTATCAGTGTCCCTCTTTCTGATTCTTTTTATGGATGACCCTCTTTCTGATTCTCATAGATGTCCCTCTTTCTGATTCTCATATGTGTCACTCTTTCCGATTCTCATTATAAGTGTCCCTCTTTCTGAATGTGATTATAAGTGTCCCTCTTTCTGATTCTCATTATAGATGTCCCTCTTTCTGATTCTCATTATAAGTGTCCCTCTTTCTGATTCCCATTACAGACGTCCCTCTTTCCGATTCTCATTATAAGTGTCCTTTTTTATTCTCATTATAAGTGTCCCTTTTGTTTCTAATCTTCTTCACCTCGACGTCCATAATAATCTCTGAACCGTTCCGAAGAGCAAAATTCTATTGCGTGCAGGTTTTTCTTCATCTGTGAAGAGATTGTCCAGTATTCACTGCCATTCTTTATTATATCTGAATTGCCATGAACCCTAGGAAATCTAGTGCAGTCTACATGTAGATGTAAAATAAGTTCAGTGAGTGCACATAAAATAGAAAGGGGACTATGACAAGGAGGCGTTTTTTTGCCCGAAATTATTAAATGTATATAAGGAGGTTTCCCAAGAAATCTAGAAGACCTATTAATGGCAGACATAATCTTACCAAAGTTTAGGCACTTGACTTGGTGTAGAGATTAACAAGCTTTTCTCATTTGATGAAATGCGGCAGTGAGTTCGATCCTCACAGGCTGCTCCAGAAAATCGGTCTTGTGCCACATCAAATTCACCCATAGAAGATAATTTTGAGAATTCCTGTGTGGTGGAATACTTACCAAGCTGGTCTCGCTTGACCAATTATGACTGAGTAGTGACTTCGATTCTCATTTGGTGCTCCACACTTTCGGCCTTGTGCCACATCTTAGCTACGCTTACAAAAACATTTTGGACGCTCAGACGTGGTGTAATGGTCAGGAAGCTGGTCTTGTTAGATCAATTACAACTGAGTAATGAGTTCGATACTCACTGCCTTCTCCCCCAAACCGGTTTTGTGCCATAGCCAATCTACGCTTACAAAATTATTTTGAACTCTCCGATGTTGGTGTAATGGTTAGCAAATATGTCTCGCTATATCAATTAATACTGAATAGTATATTCGTCACTCACAGCGTGCTCCAAACTTTCAGCCGTTTGCCACATTTAATCAGCACTTAATTAGTTATAAGGTCACTTCTCTATGGTGTAACGGTAAACAAATGCGTCTCTCTAAATCAAGCTTTTCTCCTTGAACCACATCTCAGCTACAGTTAAAAATCGCAATATTCCTAACAAGATATGATATGCAGGATTCTATGAACATTTTTCAAACATAATTATTCAAAAAACATTTACTCGAATTGTAAATTGTTTAAATGAAAATTAATCGAAAGGCCAATTATACTAAATGATAATTATTCGAAATGCAAAATTCTTTATTGGAATAAAAATTTAAAAATTAAAAGAGGAAATACACAGATGATATTTATTCGAAAATACAAATATCGTTCATATAGAAAATTTAGTAAGAAAAAATTCTTACAACCTTAAGTTATATGATACTGCACACAAATAGTCAACTACTGAAGAGTACTCGTTAAAGGATGCCACTAAATAACCACCATAGAGAAACTTTCCTGTCCGCCATCAGTATGGGTAATGGTCGACCCCCGGAGAGAGTCTCATTGCGCCTTACTGATCTCATGTTTTTAACTAACTTGAAGTAGAACAGTTATATTGAATCAATAGCTGCATCTACTGCTAGGAAAGTTGGTTCATTGTGTCGTGCCAGAAGGTTTTTCTTGACATAGTCCACTTTGCACATTTACACCACTACCATTCAGCCGTGCATTGAACACTGTTGCTACAGCCGGTCTGGCGTCCCTCTTATTCATCTCGAGGTTCTCGAGAAAAGCCAAAGAAGGATCTGCAATGAAATCAATCCTGATTTAGCATCTCGACTTCATTCACTTTCTCACAGATTTGATGTGGCTTCCCTCTGTCTTTTCTACAAATATTTTCATGGCAACTGCTCCGACGTGCTATTTTTTTCTGGTGTCCCGACTGCATGAATTTAAGCGTGCTACTGGATTGGCATCTAGGTCCCACCATTTTATTAATGAAATATTTAAATGCAACCGTCACTTCGAATCCAAAAGTTTCTTTTTTCACACTTCCCGACAGTGGAACTCCCTTCCGCTTACTTGTTTCCCTGATAACTACAATCTTAAAAAATTTAAATGCAACGTCAACCGCCATCTTCAGTTGACTTGCACAACATTCATCTTCTATCCTTTCCTCAAACACCCTATACCCAATCTTTTCTACCATTTTCACTCTCTGTAACACCCCTACGTACTAGTGTCACTCTCGCCTTACTTGGGGTGGAATGATTAAAAAAAATTCTCCATTTACATCGTGGTATTTCTTGGCGTTCTTGATATTTTTGCAACCTGCTCTTTCTTTTGCAATATCAATTTCTTGCAAGTCCTGTTCTCTTTTAAGAGCGTCTAAGAATTTCCATATTATGGGATGTCGCGATGACACTTACCGCAAAAGAGCCCTATGCCATCCTTCAAGGGCGTTATTAGTTCTGGATAAATCAGCACTGAATCTCTCAAAACAAGACTACATACATGTTTCAAACATACACCCTTGGGAAAATGAATTGAACCAAATGCTTTAGCTTCCTTTTTTTCCATCATATGATCAGTTTAGACCCATTGGCGTGACAGGGTGTAATCGATTTCTAGTTTTTCCTCAGATGAGGTCATTAATTAAAAGAGGAAATAAACAAATGATAATTATTCGAAAATACAAATATCGTCAATAAAATATTTTAGTAAGAGAAATCCTAATAACTTTAAATTATATGATACTGCACGCAAATAGTCAACTATTGAAGAGTACTAGTTAAAGTATGACACTAAATGTTTAAGTTTTCCATTTATGTCGCAGTATTTTTGACGCTCTTGTTATTTTTACAAACTGCTCTTTTGCAATATGCATTTCTTGCAAGTCCTCTTCTCTTTTAAGAGCGTCTAAGAATTTCCATATTATGGGATGTTGGGATGGCACTTATTGACATCTTTTAAGGACGTTATTAATTCTTGGTAAATCAGCATTGACACTCCCAAAGCAAGACAGCATACGTATTTCAAACATAGGTTTCGAATAATTATCATTTAGTATAATTGTCCTTTCGATTAATTTTCATTCGAACAATGTCAGTTCAGTCAGTTATATGCCATACGTGATACACACTGAGCCGATCATGTATCTTTGAAACCTGACTGACGAGGCAGATTTTTTTTTCCTCAGTAGGTTGCCATTTCTTTCTGCTGTAGACCGGTTGCCATCCAAAACTACAGACCCCGGTCCGTCCTGCTATTTTCTCATAGCTGGGGGCCGGGGGTGTAGAAGGAGAGGATTCATATCTTTCTTAAGGGTATTAAAACGTAAGAGAATGTAATGAATCTGAGTGGATTTGGAACTCGGCTCTCCGATTCCTTAATCCGAGTCGCTAAAATCGAATTTTTTCGGCCAATTTTCGCGTTACGGATATGCAGATGACAGACCTCGAAAGAAAAAAAAAAATGAAAAAAACTATTCTAAAAAAAAGGTAAAAGAAGGCGAGACGGAAATAAATGCAGAGCCGATTAATATTATTGACTGCAAAGTGACTGAATGCACAGTGATCAGCAAATGAGACAGGCTGTGTTGCGAGTTATGCGTTCGGGACGTCATATCAACTATCAACAAGGCGCATACATTTAGTTATAGTTCGATTAGAAACAGGCGACGATAAATCTGACACGAAAATCCGAAGGCGTGTAAAAGTAGCGAAAGATGTCTTTCAGAAACTAAGCTAAGTATAATCCAAAAAAAGGAAATGTCATTAGAAGCAAAGACAAAATCGACTGATGGAAAATTGTGTCGGATCTAATCTCGCCAGTAATTACCACACAGATGAAGAGATGCGGAGATGTGCTTTTTTTGTGGTTTGGTGGGAACTACATTGATAATCCCTTTCCACACTGTTCGGTCCTATATTGCTGTCCCCAGACCCCCAATATCCAACCCTAAATTCCGGGATATGGTGCCTGGGAAAGTCAATTTGTCGTGAGAAGAAACCTTCAAAAGGATGCCATAGGAGTAAGGATGAGTCGATTTCCCTGTCCAGTCGGTGTCTGTGGCCGGCACACTCATATCTCTTACTTTCTCTCTCTCTCTCATCTATTACTTTATATCTCTTTCTTTCTTTCTTTCTTTCTTTCTTTCTTTCTTTCTTTCTTTCTTTTTATTGCTTCATATCTCTTCATCATCATAATCATCATCATCATTCAACCTCCCTATGGTTAGTTGGAACTTCATTGATAATCCCTTTGCACACTTTTCGGTCCTGTATCGCTGTCCACAGATCCTCAATGTCCAAACCTGAATCACGGGATATGGTGTCTGGGAAAGTCAATTTGTAGTGAGAAAAAACTTCCAGAAGGACGCTATAGGAGTAAGGATGAGAAGATTTCCTTGTCCACTGGGTTGCTGTGGCCGGCAATCTGCAATCGCTTTTGTTTGAGCTTAAGACAAATTGGTCTCCGTTCTCCGTAAATTGTGTTAAGGGTTACATGGCATCTCCAACTGATGTTCTGGATAGTTCTAAGTAGATTTGTATATGTTCCATCCAGTGATTATTCAAGACGAACAGATAATTTCCAAGTTTCTGATCCTTCAGTAGGACTGGTTCAATCAATGTTCGAAAGGTTTGGACTTTTAAGGAGAATGAAAATTTCGAGCGTGAAGTTTGTTACGCCTAAAATACCGTAGGCAGATCATTTAAGAAACGACTTATAATCAGGAAGAGACAGCAGAAAATTCTAATAAACATAAGGAAAAAAGTGCGCCCCGAGAAATAAAAACTCACAGGTCCGACTAATGGTAAGAGAGGTGAGCAACGACTTTGAATAAATGTATGGACTATTGTCCTCATTTTTGTCGCCATATTTATTAGAACGTTTTGGCCTTTCAGTATCTGTCTATATTTCTGAGATGAGGTATTATGTACACTATTTACATTATTCGGACTATTGTCCTCATCTTTGTCGCCATATTTATTACAACGTTTCAGCCTTTCAGTATCTGTCTATATTTCTGAGATGGGGTATTATGTACACTATTTACATTATGCGGACTATTGTCCTCATCTTTGTCGCCATATTTATTAAACGTTTCGGCCTTTCAGAATCTGTCTATATTTCTGAGATGGGGTATTATGTACACTATTTACATTATTCGGACTATTGTCCTCATCTTTGTCGCCATATTTATTACACTGTTTCGGGCGTTGTACGCTCCGGCCTTCTTCAGGTGGTTGGTATGTCGAACTGAACCCTTTGTTTTCTCACTGGGGTAGACTGTTCTAGTTCCACGTGTGTGTGTATATTTCTGAGATGAGGTATTAAGTACACTATTTACATTATTCGGACTTTTGTCCTTGTCTTTGTCGCTATATTTGTCACAACGTTTCGGCCTTTCAGTATCTCTCTATGTTTCTGAGATGAGGTATTGGGTACGCTATTTACATTATTTGGACTATTATCCTCATATTTGTCGCCATAGTTATTACAACGTTTCGGGCGTTGTACGCTCCGGCCTTCTTCAGGTGGTTGGAATATCGAACTTAATCCTTTATTTCGCTCACTGGGGTAGACTGTTCTAGTTCCACGTGCCATGTTTAATGAATGTCAGTTATCAGTTATATCCTGTTAATTTCCCTCTGAAAGTTCTCCACTGCCTTAACCGGGTATTGAACTCACACTCTTTGTGTTCTGTCACTGGATCTAACTAACGCCTTTATCCAATGTGCCATGTGTCCTCAGTCGAAATATTGTAATAAATATAGCCACAAAGATGAGGACAATAGTCCGATTAATGTAAATAATGTACGACAGAGTTTGTTATTTTTAATCATTTTTCCAAGCAAGGCAATAAATCCGCTAAGGTGCAAGGGGGGTATTGTGTGTTATAGAATACGAGAAAAAATACTATTAATGAGAGAGGAAAATAAAAAAAACAGGTATTAAGAAGACAGAAGATAACGACTGACATTGCATTTAAATATTAGAAAATCAAAGTTGACTGGAAACAAGTCAGGAGAGAGTTCCACAAGCGAGATGAGTAACTGTTAACATAGAAGTTACGGTTGCATGTAACCATGTAAAAACTAAGATGAGGAGACCTAGCCGCCAATCTAGTACTGCGTTTAGATTCATAAAGTCTCGGTAGCGTAGAGGAAAGCTCATCAGAACATTATTGAAATATTTACAGAAGAGATACAGGGATGTTACGATACCGCGGTGACAAAGTCACTGAAGACGAGATGCCAGGTCAGTGTCAATAACATTGTAGATTCTTCTTTGGATTTTATAGGATCAAAAGTTAATTAGAGCAATAAATATGAAGAATTTATGCTCCGCAATTCTTCAGGTGATATCACGGAGCCTACAACAGCTAAAACGTCGGCAATATGGTAATAAAGATGAGGACAACATTCCGAACAATGTAAATAACGTTTTAGTTAATTTCCCTTGATAACTCTCCAAGATTTTTGTTCCCTCTCTTGTGGCCCGGTATTAAACTCACAACTCTGTTTCGAGCCACTTTTGGATCATTCACCCAACTCTTTAATCCAAATGGCCAAGCGTCCCCGAGATATCTAAAGTCATGGCACGTGGAATTAGAATATTCTACTCCTGTGGACTAAATAAAGAGTCCGGTTTGAAATTCCCAGAAATGTCACCTGAAGAAGACCGGAGTATATAACGGCCGAAGCATCCGAGCAATGTAAATAATATAAATATTTACAATACCTCATCAAAGAAATATAGACAGATGAGAAGTTGTGGAGAGCTACAATCACTTAGCTACTGAATGGAGTTCTTCTATACGCAGCGTTCCTTCAGAAAGCAGACGATCATGGCTCTCCCTAATTTCCGGTTTTTGTAGCTCTTGGTCTTTTTGCTATCTATCCCAAACCCTACCGCGCCATCAATTCACTGAAGATCGGCAAGTAGGTTGTTTTCGTCTCTCCCACTTACCATCAATCTGTCTTGAGAGTATCAAATTTTCCAAGCTCTCTTTCCTCATTATGTGCCCTAGATATTTTCTTGATATTAATTCTACGATCCTTTTTGTTGCTATTGACTTCAGGACTTCGTTGTTGCTCACATAGTACATAATAATCTCACGTCGTTATTGCTCACCTGGTATTCTCAGCATGCTTCTGTAGAACCACATTTTTGTTGCTTCAAGCCTTTTCTTCATCTCTAAGGAGATTGTTCAGAATTCACTGACATTTAAAAGGATATAATAAATAACAGTATAACCAGTCGAATCTATTACATTCACTTATAACCCTGGAAGGCAACTGGTCTAACACAGAAAGAAATGGCAACCTACTGCGGGAAAAAATCTACCACGTCAAACATATATTGAAAGATACATGATCACCTAAGCGTGCATCACACATGGCAAATAACTGACAGATTCTTTGTAGTTCGAATTCCAGTCGAATCCATTACATTCACTTACGTGCTAATACCCTCGGGAAAAGATATGAATCCTCTTCTTCTCCCCTAGGTATGGGCTAAATATCAGAACAGTCCGGGTTCTATAGCCTTGAATGGAACTTGGTCTACCGCAGAAAGAAATGGCAACCTACTGCGAGGAAAAAAAACTGCCTCGTAAGTCATGTATCGAAAGACACATGATCGCCTAAGCGTGTATCATGCAGGGCACATAACAGACTGACCTTTTGGCAATGTATGAATCCTCCTCCACGTATGGGTTAAATAGCAGGACAGACCGGGCTCTATCGCCTTGGATGGCAACCGGTGTACCGCAGAATGAAATGGCAACCTACTGCGGGAAAAAAATTCTGCAGCGACAGTCATGTATCGAAAAATACATGGTCGCCTAAGCGTTTATTACGCATGGCAAATAACTGACCGACAAATCTAGACCTATACAATCGATTCTTGTCCCATCTTTAGAGGTAAAATGGAGTTCTGTCCGGTTAGAACAATGATTGATTCTACGTATAATTTATTATGATATATGGAAAGGCTTTTTAATTTGTTCAGTTATTCGCCTGTTAGAATGGTTGCTCTATCTAATACGAGTCTAAATCAACGTACTATTTGCAGATAGCAAGGCGAAGAACATATAAATTCATGCCTTTTGTAAGAACCGTCTTGAGAAAGTGAATGCAGCGTCGGTAAAAATTTGAACGCTGCCTGCCGCTTCCATATTCTGCATAAAATAATAATTTGAAATATAATTACTTTTTTTTTTTTAAATTTATTTCCCTTGGTTTGATTTTTTTTATTATTTATATATTCATGAATTTATTTTATTTATTTACTAATCGATTGTTGCTATTACCTTTAAAAAATTCGAAAATACCTTGAAGGGTTCTGTCCACGACCACACCAATCCTCACGTCCGCTTCAGTTTAACATTGCCGGAATTTTGAGAAATTGCCCCCCCACCATTTAAATTTTGAAGCATTTAAATAATTAAAATCACAAGTGGATTGCTTTCTGTGATGAAGCCTCCATCTTCGCTTCAAATCACGTATAATAATCGACAATCGGCGTCGCTTACGCTGGCAAAATTATCTCAAGTAAAATTCCTATCGAATAAATAAATATGACGCATAATGTTGAATAATCATTTGCTATAAACGTTCCCAGTTAACTCCCGATAGGAAATTCGCCCCATCATTAGCGCTAATTTGCTAAATGGAATTATTTTGATATCAATGCATCACACATATTAATGGCCAGAAATGAGACCTAATCTAAGATAATTAAATAATATTTATATATTAAATATTTTTTAAATGCTGATTAGAAGATGTCTGTAGTATTTTGGTTCTGATGACAATCCCAAGAGAATTGAGATGTTACACCTTAGTGCATAAAATCTGGATGATCACCTCAAAATTGCAAATTACCGTATTTCCCCATGTATATCCGAACCTTAAATCTGCTATTTGGCTTGTAACCCACTCGGATGAAGCCCCAGTTTTTGAACCACGTACACTAATTGTATAATTCAGAAGAATCAGAAATTGTATTTCCTGGAAAATAAAACGATTCCTATAATCCAGAACTTGAATCACATGAGCCCAAACCTCTGCTAAAGATCTTTTAAGAGATTCAGACTTGACAAAAACAGCAGAGTTGCTAGCTTCGAGCCTAATAGCGAGCATTTTATTATGTTGGTGCAAAAATAATGTTGTTTTTTTGACGTCACGTTGAACGTCAA